TTAATTAAAATGGCACTGCAGAGGTACAGAATAAATAGTTATAGGTTCATGAACTGGGATGGGATGTAGCTCACTGGTAGAGAACATGCAGTACATACTAAAGGCCCTGGATACAAAAACAAAATAAGAGGGCTAGCAGAGTGGCTCAAGTGATAGAGTGCCTGCCTAGCAAGCATGTGGCCCTGAGTTCAAACAAACCCCTGAAATGCCAAGAAATCAAAAAAAAAAAAAGCATGATCTGTCATCTCACTGATTTAGATTTACCACCATCTTACCCAGCTATATTCTGTGCCCAGGAGAAAAACCATAAGGGAATGCTAAGACAAAGAATGAGTCACAGAAGAGGGAATCAAATATCAACTGCTCTAAAACTATAACCCAAGTCTGAGGAGGTTCCCGCAGGGAAAAGATAAAACAGAGAAACGAAGAAAAAAAAAAAAAAAAAACTTGACGCTGGAAAAGATAAGAACCACACAGAAAACAGAAGGTTCCACACAGAAAGTGGAAGGTTCTAGAGATAGATGCTTAAAATTGTTATACTTGCATTGGCTGGGGATATGGGTTTGGAGGTCTTTTGTTTTAACTTTTTTTCAAATTTAAGTCTTAAATGTATGATAAGCCTCAAACTGTTAAATACCTGAATTCCCAGTTTGTGTACTATTGCTTGAATGCAGCACAGTGGTTGGTAATGAAATAAAAAATTGCATGGAGGGCTGGCAGAGTGGCTCAAGTTGGTAGAGCACCTGCCTAGCAAGTGTAAGGCACTAAGTTCAAATCTCAGTACTGCCAAAAAAAAAAAAAAAAAAAAACCACCCTAAGAACTATCAAAATTCATACAATGGCAGAGTCAGGATAGCAAAAATTGCTACACTTTTCCTCTAGTTGCAAACTCAATGATTAATTTTTTTAACCATTTCTATTTTTACAAATTTAAAATCTTGAATATCGTGGGCTGGGGATGTAGCTCAGTGGAAGAGTATTTTCCTAGCATGCTAAGGTTCTGGGATTACTCTCCAGCACTGCAAATAAAAAAAAGAAACAGGAAATCATCTTGGACATTTCATAAACATATTTAAATCCTTCAGCTTTATGTTTTGGGATTTTTTTTTTTGTGATTCTAGGGATTGATCCCAGGGCCCTGGTACAAACTAGGCAAGCACTATAACATTAAGCAACACCCTGGGCCCTCCAGTTACTTTTAACTGACTTGATCTTCCAGTAGTCTAGGTTTCAAATAAGCTTTATTTCTTAAACATGAATGCTTACGATCTACCCCTATTATTGTAATAATCCTTGAAGGGACTTGGAAAAGTGAGAATTAGTGTTGGGGGTGTTTATGTGTGTGTGTATGTGAGCACTACCAGGGTTTGAACTCATGGCCTATGCTTGGCACTCACATCCCACTTGAGTTACATCCCAAGCCTGAGACTTGTAATACTACAAGTGAAAATTTTTTGCTTCAGTTCATGTTTGTATATACAATATATTTTTAGCCTTATGAAAGTCTTTTTCTAAATCTTTCCATCGCCAGGTAGCAATGGGAAGAATTTCCATATAACCCAGCAAGGACTTAGAATGTTAATATGCCAACATAAAGTTTCACTTTGATTTTAAAAATCAGCCCAATAATTCTTATACCAGTACTATTTATTCAGGTAAAGTTATATATTTCACTAAAATAGTATTTGCTTTTGCTAACTGTCTCTCTCATACAATTTTGTTTTACACTATTAAACATGGTATCAATCCCTTTCATTTGGGAAAATGCTGAACACTATTTTGAGAGGAAGAGAAGTACATCTGATCCTACTGGCACTAAGCCATGAATTATTTTTAATTATGGCTTATGCCTAAAAATATTCTTCTCTAATCTTTAAAAACTGGAAGTAAATAAAGGTCTAATTCCCAGGAGTTAAATATCCCATGCATAAAGCCTCCTATAAATGTCATTTTGGAAAACATGTTCCTAAATAGAAATACAAATACAACTTAAATCATCATATAAAATACTTTATTCAATAAAGCTGTATGTACATTTTACTCTAAATTGTGTACTTGATTAAATGAAATATATACTATATTGCACTAATTAAAATAATTTAAAACTTCCCCAGTTCCTAATTTGATAATTCTAATCCAGCTCAAATGTTAAGATAATAGAAAATAAATACTCAAATGTTTAGAACAAAGTTTCAAATGATTCAATTAAAAATAAATATGGCCAGGCCTTGGTGCCTCATGCCTGTAATCCCAGCAACTTGGGGTCTGAAATTGGGAGGATCAAGATTTCAACCCAGGGCAAATAGTTTGAGACCCCCATCACAAAAATAACCAGAATAAAATGGACTGGAGGTATGCCTCAAACGGTAGAGTGCCTGTTCTGCAAGTGTGAAGCCCATGCTTCACCCAAAAAAAAAAAATCTCAGTCCCACACCCCCCCCACAAAAAAAAAAAGAGGGAGAAATATGTACCGATACATACAAATAAAGTGAATTTGTAAAACATTAATAACAGGGATACTGAATTAAGGGAAAACAAAAGTTCTTTATGCTATTCTTTATGCTGTTTTTTTACTTTCAAGTAATTTTAAACTAGTAAGTTGCCATAAAACCTCAGTCAGATGGCAGACAGAAAAAGTCAAATAGGTCAGAAAATGAAATGTACTATCTCAGTTGAGTACTTCACATTAATAAAAAATAAGCAAGCCAAGTATAATAGTACATACCTGTAATTCCAGCACTTGGGAAGATGGAGCAGGAAAATCAAGATTGAGACCAGCCTGGGCTACACAGTAAGACCCTGTCTCAAAAAAAATGAACAAGGCTGGCAGAGTGGTTCACGTGGCAGAGCACTTGCCTAGCAAGCATGGGGCCCTGAGTTTAAACCCCAGTGCTGCAAAAAAGAAAAAAAGAACCACTATGAAGTGGAGGTCAGTATTTATCTTACTATGCATCTCCCAACCATAACATTATGTCAGGTGCTGGTGGCTCATGCCTGTAATCCTAGCTGCTCAAAGCCAGCCCAGGCACACAGTTCATGAGACCCTATCTTGAAAAAAACCCATCACAAAAAAGGGCTGATGGAGTGGTTCAAGATACAGGCAAGAAGATGAATAAGCATGTGAAGTTAATATGTAAAATTTATAAATTATATGCATCTACTTTATGACAATGCTAATATATACATTTAATATAAATTATATAATAAAGATTTTTTGCCCCTAAATGTTAGAGTTCTCGGTCAGACTTGAAAACACTTTTTAACAAGTCATTGGCAACCTCTAAATTATTCTTGGTGACCTTCGTATCCCTCAGGCCAAACTTGAGACCAGAGGGCATATTAAAAAAATCACCTTATCATAGATTTTTTAGTTAAGCTAAGAACTAAATCAAAATAGAATGATCATGAGTCTCAACTATGGCTTAACTGAGTAACTCCTTAACCTCTGCCTCTAATGCAACCTTTCCTCCAGAACTCCAACATCTGGTTTTCTACTAAATATGTGCCTAAAGTCAACCCAATGTACCACATGAGCTACTACACCAGTCCTCGTTTGTGGTTTTTTTCTTCAAAAATAAGGTCTAACAAACAATTTGCCTGGGATTATAGGTGTGAGCCACCAGAGCCTGGCTCACACCCAGCTATTTTGTAGAATTTTTTTTTTTTTGTAGTTTGTGTTTAAACACAGGGCCTCACACTTTCCAGGCAAGTGATATACCACTTTGACCCATCAGCCCACCAACACTTTTTTATTAAAAGAAAATGTTTTGGGCTAGGCACTGGTGGCTCACACCTATGATCCTAGCCACTTGGGAGGCCGAAAGCAGTAGGATCAAGGTTCCTGAGACCCCCATCTCCTAAATAACCAGAGCAAAATGGACTGGAGGTATGGCTCAAGGGGTAGAGCACCTGCTTTGCAAGTACAACGCCCTGTGCCCTGAATTCAAACTGTGGTCCAGGAAAAAAAAAAGGAAAAAAATATTTAGGGCTGAAGACATGGCTCAAGCAGTATAGCACCTGCCTATCAAGCTTCAGACCCTGAGTTCAAACCCCAGTATCACTCCATGCCCCTCCTGAAAAAAAACTATTTCAGGGAAATCAACACCATACTAAATTTTTTTATTAAAATCAAATGTTGAGCTGGGATGTAGCTAAATGACAGAGCACTTGCCTAGCCAGCTTGGGCCTGCCTAGCAAGCAGGAGGCTCTGAGTTCAAACCCCAGTACTGCCAAAAAAAAAAAAAAAAATTCTGTAAAATAGCTGGGTATGAGCCAGGCACCAGTGGCTCACGCCTATAATCCTAGCTAGTCAGGAGGCAGAGATCAGGAGGATCCTGGTTCAAAGTCAGCCTCGGCAAATAGTTAGCAAGGCCCTATCTTTAAAAACAAAACACAAAATAAGGCTGGCTGAGTAGCTCATGTGGTAGAGCACCTGCCTAGCAAGCATGAGGCAAAACCCACCACATCACAAAAAAATGGGCAAGCAGGGGGGAGCTGGTGGAGAGGCTCCAGGTGTAGGCCATGAGTTCAAACCCCAGTACTACAAAAAAAAAAAAAGCTGGGTATGGTGGTACACACCTATAGCTCCAACTGTTCAAGAGGCTGAAGCAAGAAGGTCACTTGAGCCCAGTAGTCCGAGACCAGCCTGGGTAACATAGCAAGACCCTATGACTTAAACAAAAAAAAAAAAAACAAAAAAAAAAGTTCACAAACTAGTACTCTAGCCCAAGACCTGAATCAGGAGAAAGAATGGAGTAGATGGTCTAACAGAAACTGGAGGGAGGTATAATAGCAAAATATTAAGCCTTCATAATGATTATTATAGTGTTTAAGGTAAATGTTACCTTAAACCATTTTTTTAATGAAAAAAAATGTCCTACAGTTAAAAAGCAGTAATTTTTTTTAGCTGAAACTGTGAAGCAGCAAGGGAAATGAGCCTTTCACTGAACCTTAAGAGTACAGAAACTGAAGATGCCCACATAATACACTGATGAACTTACAGGAAGTTTGGTGAAGGCCGGGTTGGTGACATGCTTCCCAAAGGCATCTTCCTGGAACTGGAGAAGCTGTACCACCAGTCCAGCTAGCGTCTTATTGGTAGGAGCATCTGCATGAACGTACTGTAAGATAAAGACAAGAACTCAAAATTTGACACAACTGGTGCAGAAGAAAAAGTTGGCTTATCTCCTACCACCTACTGAGCATTGGCACTGTGGCAAATTTATAGGTGTCTGAGACATGTTCTCTGCTGGAAAGGAACTTATCAAAACAAATACATGTGCCAGGTACCAGTGGCTCACACCTATAATCCTAGCTATTTGGGAGACTGAGATCAGGAAGACAGAGGTTAGAGGCCAATCCAGCCAAATAATTTGCAAAACCTATCTCTAAAATAACCAAAGCAAAATGGAGTAGAAGTATAGCTCAAGGGGTAGAGCACCTGATTTGCAAGCAGGAAGCCATGTATTCAAACCCCAGTCCCACTAAAAAATAAAGTTATGTGCATGCCTAAAAATAGTTGAGATGACAAATTTCATGCCATATGTCAGGTGCTTTTTGTTACTCCAAAAAAAAAAGGAGAGTGAGAGAACCTGTGGTACAGTGCCCACTGTGCATGCACAAAGTCCTGAGTTTGAACTCCAATCCCACCCAGAAAGAAAAAAAAAAAAATTAAAAGGGAACCATGCTGATGTAAAGAATGTCAAAAGCCAAACGAGTGGTAACGACAGAAGGTAGCTTCACAGCAAGGAAAGATAATGGCTGACATGACAGGGAAAGCATTAATTAGTCAGTTAAATGTAAAAGTTTAAGGATGACAGAGTGGCTCAAGGTGTAGAGCACCTGTCTAGCAAACTGTGTTCAAACCCCAGTACATAAAAAAAAAAAAGTTTAATTTGGCATTAAATGTTCAAGATCACTGTAAGAGGCCAACATATTCAATAAAAAAAAGTTTTAAATCTCCAGTTTTGAAAACAGGCACCAGTAGCTGATGCCTGTAACCCTAGCTACTCAGGAGGCAGAGATCAGGAAGATTGAGTTTGAAGCCAGTCCAAGCAAGAGACTCTATCTCGAAAAAACCCAACACAAAAAAATCAGGGCTGGTAGAGTGGCTCAAGTGGTAGAGCCCAGCAAGCATGAGGCCCTGAGTTCAAACCCCAGTACTACCAAAAAAATAAATAATAAGATTTTGGGGCCGGAGGTGTGGCTCAAGTGTTAGAGCACCTGCTTTGCAAGCACAAAGCACTGAGTTAAACCCTAGTTCCACAAATAAGTAAATAAATAAATAGCCCCAATTTTGAGCTGAAAATAAGGTTGTATTTTTTGTTTGGTTTCATAAAATGAACAACTTAATTTCTTAATTTTTCTTCCTACAGCAAACAAACTTCTTTCCATGTACCTTGTAACATTTCAAGATTATTTGGTATTTCTCTTACAACATTTTTTTTGGGGTGCTGAAAACTGAACTCAGAGCCTTCCACGTGCTAAGTACGCACTCTACAACTAGGCTATACACGTTCAGCCTACAATAAATAGTCTGTTGTGTGCTGGGTTTTTTGAGTCTCACTATGTAGTCCAGGTTGGCCTCAAAATTAGTCCCAGTCTCCCAAGTCCTGGGATTACAGGTGAACACTACCACACCTCAAAATAAATGGGTTCTTTCTTTTTTGGCAGTACTGGGGCAGACACTCTACCACCTGAGTTACACCTCCAATACATATTTTTTAAGTGACTAGTGTATCACAAAATGCTTCAGTTGCAGTTACCTACTATTACTGTACTTTAAGTTGAATGATTCCCAATTTGTAGTAATGCCAAAGACACAGCATAATATAAAAAGAACAATCCTTCTTCAAGTGGAGTACCCTCCCAAATTTTATTTGTTGAGGTGCACTGCTTTCCACTAAAAATGAAACCGCTACCATAAATGTTAAATAGTATTATTTAGTATTATTTCACCAAAAACAAGAAAAAAAAAATCAGGAAGGGCTTAAGTGGTAAAGCAAATGCCTGGTAAGTGCAAGGCTCTCAGTTCAAACCTCAGTACCACCAAAAACAAAACAAAACAAAATTCCTGTCAAGAAAATCAGGAAGGGGGGGGAGGGGGCAGGGGAAGTGGGAGAAATGACCCAAACAACACATGCACATGTGAATAAATGAATAATTTTTTAAAAAGGGGGGAATAAAGTGAGTAAAAAACCCCCCCAAAATCAGGAAGGTATGTTTACAAAGTTTTACTGATAAATCTGTGTATCTAAAGAACATTAATAAAGTATCAAAAGGGTACCAGTGGCTCACACCTGTAATCCTAGCTACTCAGGAGGCAGAGATAGAATCTTGGTTAAAGGACAGCAGGGGAAAATAGTTCAGGAGACCCTATCTGGAAAACACCCAACACAAAAAAGGGCTGGTGCAATGACTCAAGTGATAAGAGCACCTGCCTAAAAAGTGAGAAGCCCTATTATACCTATAATCTCAGAATTAGGGAGAGTGAGGTAGGAGGATGGAGGGATGAAGAATTCTAGGCCAACCTGGGATACATAGCAGGTACCTGTCTCAAAAACAAAAAAGCAGCAGCAGCCAAATAGTTAGGCATGGTGACACAGCCATGCTGTCCCAGCTACACTGGAGGCTGCGGCAGGAGGATCACTTGAGCCCAGAAATTTGAGGCCACCCTGTGCAGCATAAGTGAGACCCCCATCTCAAATAGCAACAAAAAAGAATAAGCCAAACTTTGGGAAGAAACTGACATAGGCGCTTAATAACTTACAGATATACTTCCCCTCCAAGGTTTCAGTTCGTATCAACTTGAGAACAAAGAAGGCAAGTATGGATTTTTATCACCTGAAAACCACTCAGACCCACTGGTCCGGGACTTCCCAGCCAGTCACAGGAGTCCCAAGAGTCCTAACCTAAAGGCCCCACCCTCAACCTCAACTCTACATAACTACTCCCCGCTTCATGACAGCTGGTTGCCCTCAGATGACCTCTTCTCAGTATTCTTAATCAGTGGATTCCCTGGACTGCAGATGCTCAGTGTGACCTCACCTCAGCTCTGAGGAGTCTCAGACCTCAGCTCAGACCCTTTCCTCACTTTTGGAAGAAGGCTCTTGAACTGACCTTCACTAAAAATAAATAAATAAAAAACACTCAGGGAAGTGCCTCAAGTGGTAAATGCACCTGCTTAGCAAGCATGAGGTCTTGAGTTCAAACCCCAGTGCCACCAAAAAAAACAACAACAAAAACACTCAGAAGCTATGTGCAAAAGTACAGTTCTCATCTTTATCAAAATTAAGAAGACATGTACCCAATAAAACCCAGAAGGAAGCTTAGATACGAGATGAACATACCTCTGCATTGCTACAGGACTTAAGGAAACCTTGAAAGCAATTAGCCCTCCTGTCTTCAGTTTCCTTTTACCTTTGGCGGTCACCTCCTCTAGACTCCCTTGGCCTACCTGAAGCTCATCCCAGTCAAAAAAGTACTTTACTCGTCACTGTTGCTTAGCCAAATTTATCAACAAAGACAAAATGAATAAATTGCTAGATTAATCTGTTCATTAATCCAACAAATATTTCCTGAACACCTACTAAGGACATTTAGAAAATAACACAAGAAAGTTATGTTATATTTTGAAATCATCTTGTTTTATAAGTAGGTGTATGGTCTTCTCCACTACAGAGTGAGTTCTGATAAAAAAGATTATGTGTTAAAAAAAAAAAAAAAAAGAAGTGGAATGTAGCTAAATGGTAGAACACTTGTCTAGCATGTGAAGCCCTGGATTCCATTCCTATCATTGAAAAAAATTTCTTTTAATAATTATATATAGGTCTTTGGAACCAGGCAGGTAATTGAATCTTTTAACTACAACTAACTTAAAGATGTTCTTAAATCTCAGGAATCTCAGATTCCTTTCATTTGTAAAATAAAATTATGTCTGTCAGGAATGCTGTGGGGATTTTAAGTGAATCTTCTGCTCTTTGGTGCTAGGGATTGAATTCGGGACCTATGCACACTCAGTTCTACCACTGAGCTACACTCCCAGGTCAGGCTATGCTTATGTACTTAGCATATTCGGTTGTTCACTGAATTAATAAACTGTAATCCCAGCTACTTAAGAAGGCTCAGAACAGGAGGTCTGAAGTTCAAGACCAGACAAGGGAAATAGTTCTGCAGACCCCAACTCCAAAATAACCAGAGCAAACTGGGCACTGGTAGCTCATGCCTGTAATCTCAGGCGGATCGATGTTCGAAGCCAGTCCCTGCAAATAGTTCAAGAGACCCTATCTCAAAAAAACACCCAACCAGCTGGGCACAAGTGGCTCATGCCTGCAATCCTAGCTACTCAGGAGGCAGAGATCAGGAGGATGGCAGTCTGAAGTCAGCCCAGGCAAACAGTTCGCCGCAACACCCTGTCTTGAAAAACCATATCACAAAAAATTGAGCTGGTAGAGTGGCTCAAGGTCAAGGCCCTGAGATCAAGCCCCAGTACCACCAAAAAAAAAGTACCCAACCAAAAAAGAGTTGGTGAAGTGGCTCAAATAGTAGAGCACCTGCTTAGCAAGCGTGAACCCTGAGTTCAAATCTCAGTTCCCCCTCCCCCAAAAAAAGATAAAAAGCTGGCAGCACAGCTCAGGTGATAAGAGCACCTTCCTAGCAAATTAAGGTTCTGAGTTCAAAATTCTAGTACTGCCAGGAAAAAAAATGAATAAAAAATAAAAATGTGACTAGAAATGTCATTTCATGTAATTGCTGAAATTTGAAGCTGTTCTAAAATGCAGTATTAAATGCAATAGAAATGCTTAGTGCACACCAGCAGAATGTAAGTCAATCCTTTGTTTTTAAAGTCTCAAGGACAGAGTCAACAGTCAACATTAACAGAGTCCTCAACACTGAAACAAATGCTTCAGTGGCCCCATAGACACCTATACCACCTACCCAAGCAAATCCCTTAAATATTATCCAAGCCTAAAACACCACTCTTAAAAACTGGACCCAGGAATCTTTAATCCCATTTCCTACATTTCCCCCCACTTTTATGCTGTCATAATAAATTCCTTTCCTAATAGACTTTACTACCATTTTTACTAAACAGAAAGAAAAAAAGTTGGACTCAAACCAATGCATACTAAGAGCTGGGAAAGGCAGACATGACAACTATTTGCCTTTCTCTACTCTCTTCTTTGATATTCAAAGGAATTTGCTTCCTGATTATTTTTTTTCTTTGTTAAAGCCTTCAATTGGGGTGGGGATGTACCTTGCTGGTACAACATGTGCTTTGCATGCACAAGGCCCTGGGTTCAATCCCCAGACCAGAAAAAAAACCAAAAACCAGACTCACTGAATACTATCCAAAGCATTGGCTTAAGGCAGCTTATTTATACGAGTTAAAAATACTTTCACAGCATCCAATTCCCTTAACCACTTCAGAAGCTCTATTGTCTACACAAAAGTGGCCAATTTATCGCGATGATCTTGTCAACCTACATGGAGATGGGAAAAATGTGCAGTCCCAGATGTGATTTCAAGGCAGGCAATAAAGTCAAAGCACCTAAAAATATAATTTCTCACTTCCTCAAACTTCTGATAAGGACTGCTCATGCCTGAAAGCATCACAGTGTATTATCAAAGGAACCAAGATCCCTGTCCATACCTAACAACTGTCAAACACTAACATACTTCACTGAAAACAAAAAGGCTCCTAGACTAGTTTATCTTTTCCTTCACTGAACAAATATTTACTAAGCACCAGGTACCAACCCCATTCCAGAACACATAGTGAACAGAACTGACAAAGCTCATGTCCCTGATGGAGGGGGTGAATTCAACTATAATATATTGCAAAAACTTTTGTAAATGTCACAATGTGCCCCAGTACAACAATTAAAACAAAACAAAACAAAACAAACTCATCCCAGTTCTATAGTCTTCAAAGGAGGAAATATAGAACTGAAATTTGCGAATGGGGCAGAGCACTGTTTTTGACTGTCACCTTAATTATACATCTTAAGAAATCACTCCTGATAATCAAGGGGTTAAGCCAAACTTTAAAAAGCCACTGATTCAGCAGGATTTACATTACAAAGCAGAACAAGTAAATGAAAAGATTTTTATAAGTCGTAAACATTACAAGAAAATAAAGGTGAAATAAAGCGAGATGCTGTAGCATAAACTGGGTTCTCAGGGAAGACATCACTGAAGAACACAATAGGTACTAGAGACAATAAACTCTCGTACCATACCTCACCAAAAGTACAATGAAGTGAAAAAAACGTCGTTTTCAATAGTCTCTCAACAATACTGTAATGCATGATATAACCCTACTGTAATTAACTACTAAGGACAATCGCCGTAGTCCCTTCACTAATCAACAACAGGTATCAAAATCTTCGTTACCTAAGGACTTGGAAAAGACTAGTCTCAAACAAAACTTGAAGCCGCTTTTACCACGCTGGCTCAGCGTTTAGCGATCTTGGTTCACACACCTAATGCGGCTAACAAAAGGGCAAGATTTACGCCTTGCGGGTTTGCTGAGCTCCACCTGCTCCCGCATAGCGAGCGAGCAGGAGCTTCCACCCGTGTGCGTGGGCTCTGAGGAGAGAGGCCCGAGACCCCTATCCACGCTCAAGGGCGCCTAGGCAGACCGCGGGGGCGTGGCGGGCCGGGTGCCTGCCTTTGTTGTCCCTCGTGGCGCGCGCCGGGGGGGGGGAGGGGCGACCCGTGAAGCCAGCAGCCCCCTCCCGCTCCCATCGCGTGGCCTCCCGGCCTCCACGATCGCGCGAACCTACCTTCTTGTAGTGCTTGCCCAGCCAGACCCGCACCGAATCCAACTGGGACACAGTGTCCGGGCTCTCCCAAAACTTGCTCGCGGGGCCCCCGTCTTTCCGCCGATAAATGGCCAGGCCCGCGGCCGCCGCCGCGCCCCCTGCGCTCACGGCACCCGCTGTCGCCCCTGGCCCGCCGCCTGCCGCTGCGGCCATCGTCACCGTCCGTCGTCCTCACGCCCAGCCCGCCCAGACCCTCGCGGCGTTTCCCGTTCGCACCGGCGCGCGCGCGCGTAGCTGCCGCCGCCACCACTACCACCACCACCACCGCCTCCCAGCCCCGCCCAACCAACCCCCTTCCGGCGCGGACGCCCGGCCCCGCCCCCTATCGGCGCCGAAACCGACACGAGCTGGCGTGTGCGCATGCGCAGCACACGTGCCGGCTACCCGCCTCTTCCGCCCGCCTTGGCGGACTGGGAGGACTTACAGGAGTTTATCGTTGGCTCTGAGCGTCTGGCTCTTTCCCGACCTTCCTGTAGTAGATCATTAGGCCACCTACAACCGCAAGGAAGTTCTGTGTCTTTTGCCGCCGGCGGAAAAAAAAAGGCCTGGTGTGGGAAGTACGGAAGGGAAAGCCCGTTTGGGGTGTCAAGCGCTGGTGGAGGGCCCGCACGCGGGGTCGGATCCTGCGCCAGCCCTTGATTGCTTAAACCATCTACACCTACAAGCACTGGGGCGCCCAAGCTTGTAGTTTGGGGTTCACAAGCCCTCCACCTCTCCTGGCTCCAGCCGCAGCAGCTGCTGCTTGTCTCAGGGCACTTGCACCAGCTGTACCCGCGATCTCGGCAGGTTCTCCCTTCTGCTTTCACAAGCGAGACGCTCTCAGATTAATAGCTTAAAAGTTTTTTGGAAAGCCGATCCCTAACTGTACAATCTAATCACCCCCACTCGACAATTTCTGCGTAGTTTTCACCGCGACCTAGCATCTTGTGAATACAAGTGTATCCTCGGCGCTGGGAATGGGACCTGTTATCTAACACATGTTCAATAAATATCTGATGAATGGCCTACATACAGGCAGAATTTATATTATTAAGGTGGACATAGTGGAGCTATGGCCATAATGCCATATGATCCCGGAGCATCAAGTGACTTAATTGCTTGTGAGAAAGTCTGATGCATTTTCCACCTTTTCAAAGTGAATAGCATGATCATAGAGGAAAGAGCATTCAGGACACAGAAATGAAACTAAGGCATTGAACAGTGAAAGAATGTTTGGTGAAAGGATCCTTAAATCCAAGGATAGAAGCGGAGATACTTTTTTTTTTTTTTGCGGTATTGGAGGTCAAACCTACGGCCTCATGCATGTTAGGCAAACACTTAACCACTGAGCTACATCCCCAGTGGGAATGTAACTTTAGTGTGGCAGTGAATTTTAACTTGGCCTGTATGCACTGGGGAACCAGCTATAACTGAGGAAATGACATGATCGTTTTTGTTCTCTGTAAGAGGGAGACAAGTATATGAGATGGAGACTAGAGAAGCTAATTCTATGGAAGGAGAGTTGCAAAGTTCTGCCTTTTAATAGTCTTTGTGGGCTGCCTTTCTCAAACACTTCACCAAAAATGAGGGCCCAAGTTCTTCTAGAACTTGGTGATTCTCCATGTGAGTTACATTTCTCCAACACTGATCTAGCAACTCCCACCGATTGGATTGCATTCTGGCACCCCTTCACCCTATTTTGGCCTCAGCCCTAAAATACCTCATCAACTGCTAGTTCAGATGTGTAACTGACAAGACCATAACTGATGAAGGGCATTTTATGGGCTTGGTGCAGGACCCTAAATCTATCTTCAATTGAAACTGCTTTCTATTTACTGACAAGGAAGAGCTCTGAAGTTAGAAGAAACAGAAGACACTAAGGAAAGATGTGTCCATTGCAGTGTGAGAAGAGAAGACCAGAGCTTCCAGTCTGGCACTCCTCCTGCATGAGTGAGACAACATTCAAGACCTTCACTGCTCTCATGGAGCTGATCACCTTGCAGACAGAGGCCCTGCAGGAAACTGGAATTGCAGGAGCCTTGAGCAAAGCCAAAGGGGGTTGGAAAGAGGCAGAAGGAAGGCAACAGCTTCTCATGAGCTGAAAACAAAATCCTGAATAAATATCACACATAATCTTAAAAAAGAAAAGATCAATTTTATTTATTAGAAAGATAACTGAAACACCATGGAGAATAGATTGAGGGAGGTAAGAGTGACCTGATTAAACAAAACAGTTGAAAATAAAATATAAGATATGGATCATGCCCTCTAAGAGCTTAGACTAGAAGTAATGATAATAGCTGGTGCTTATGCAGGACTTAATGTGGCATGCTGTATAAGTACACCTATCCTACTGCAGAAAAGGCAAATGAACCCGGTGCCAGTGGCTCACCCTGTAATCCTAGCTACTGGGGAGGCAGAGATAAGGAGAATCACAGCTCAAGGCCAACCTGGGAAGGTAGCTCCCAAGACAATATCTCAAAAATTCTCAACACAGCCAGGTGCTGGTGACTCACAGCACCTATACCCAGGAGGATCACGGTTCAATGCCAACCCTGGGCAAATAGTTCATGACACCCTATCTTGAAAAACCCATCACACAAAAAGTGCTGGTGGAGTGGCTCAAAGTGAAGGCCCTGAGTTCAAACCCAAATACTGCAAAAAAGAAAAAAAATGAAGGGCTGGCACAGTGGAGCACCTATGTAGTAAGCCCTGAGTTCAAACCCCAGTACCATCAAAAAAAGAAGGAAAATGAGGCTCAGAGAGGTTAAGTAACCAAAGGAATTAGACCCTGAAGTACTGCTACCCATTTTCCCAAATACATGTGCTTTCTGTTAATAACGTGACTAGAACAAGGAAAGTGCACTGAAAAAGTTCAGAAAGGTATTTCATTTGCCTGGAGCCATGGAGAGGGAAATTATTTCCTCCCAGGCAATGAAATTCCACCTTTTTAACTCAACTTGGAAAACTATATTGCCTCATTTTTTAAGAAATCTAAAAATCTGGCGGGGTGCCAGGGGCTCAAGCCTACTCAGGAGGCAGAGATCAGGAGGATCTATTCAAGGCCAGCCCAGGCAAATAGTTTTCAAGACCCTACCTCAAAAATACCCAACACAGGGTTGGTGAAGTGGTTCAAGTGGTAAAGCACCTGCCTAGCAAGAACTAGACCAGTACAAGCTCCAGATCTAGGGGAAAAATAAAATGCCCAACACAAAAAAAGGGCTGGCAGAGTGGCTCAGGTGATAAGAGTGTCTGCCTAGCAAACATGAGGCCCTGAGTTCAAACTCCATACTACCAAAAAAAAAAAAAAAGGCCAATAACCCAATTGACCAATTAATAACCCAATGGAATAAACTTGGTATATGTAACATTGTGGATCAATTTCACAAAAATTATACAAAGTGAAATGTTATCCAAAAGAGTGCATACCATCTGATTTAACGTGAAATTATAGAACATAAACTATAACGTCTAGTTGCCTTGAGGAAGGAAAAGGGACATAAAACTTTCTGGCATGATGGGAATAAGCACAGTTGGATAACGATTTGCTTTACACTGTGCTTGTATACCAATTTATGGAATAGTGTAGAATGTTTTGTTTCACTCTATGTAAATTGGGGCAGAGCTGGGGCATGGCTCAAGTGATAGAGCCTAAGTTCAAACCTTTTCAGAATTTGCAAAAATGGAGGGTGGCGGGTGGCGGGTGGCAGGGAGGTGGCCCAAATAATGTATACACATGTAAGTAGATGTAAAAATGATAAAATTTAAAAAAAACCCAAGAATTTGCAAAAATGAAAGACTTTTCAAATTTTATATTAAATTTACATAGTGGTCTATTTTCACGGATTTATGGGTAAAAAGTTGATTTGGTTCTTCAGTTCTGAGAAAAACTACATGACTGTTTACCAGTCTAAATTACAGTCATTAGCATTTTTGTTTCTGGGAAGTATATCAAAAAGGGTATGCTATGATGTAGGAAAGTGTAGGGTTACCAGTACTTTCTATAAAGGGCCAGACAGCAAATGTTTTTAGGCAGGCAGGCCATATGGTCACCTTGCAACTATTCAACCCTGGCTTTTTTTTTTTTTTTTTTTTTTTTTTGGTGGAACTGGGGTTTGAACTCAAGGACTTTGCATTTGCAAATGAGGCATTCTATTGCTTAACCCATGCCTCCAGTCCATTTTGTTCTGGTTACCTGGAGATTGGGGTCTCAAGAACTATTTGCTGGGGCAGGCCTTGAATTGCAATCTTCCTGATTTTAGTCTCCCAAATATCTAGAATTACAAGTGTCAGTCACCAGCCAGAATCCCACTTTAATTTTTATTTTCAGATGGGGTCTTGCTATGTAGCCCAAGTCAGCCTCAAGTTTCTTCCTTCCTCAGCCACTACAATGCTGGAATCACAAATGTCTGTCACAACACCAGGCTTCTGTCTGCGAAAATGAAAAGGTGACATGGGGCCCGCCTGGTGGCTGCAGGACCTGAGGTTCCTGCGTCCCCATGGTACTCCAAGAGGAGGTGAGCATGTCCAGTTTTGAGGAATTCAACAGAGCTGTAAAGCAGCACCACAACAAAGACCATTGCCACCTACTTTAGCAGTTCTAAGGACTCTGAAGAGAAGAACTGGTGTCCTGACTGCCGGCAAGCTGAAAGGAGCTGAAACATGTTTGTGAAGGATGTGTGTTCATAACTTCCATGTAGGAGAAAACCTATTTTTTTTTTATGGCAGTACTGGAGCTTGAACTCAGGGCCTACACCTTGAGCCATTCCACCAGCCCTTTTCTGTGATGGGTTTTTTCCAGATAGGGTCTTCGTCGAGAACTATTTGCCTGGGCTGGCTTTGAACTTCGATCCTCCTGATCTCTGCCTCCTGAGTAGCTGGGATTACAGGCATGAGCCACCAGTGCCCAGCTAATTTTGACATTATTATTATTATTTTTTTGAACTAAGGGATTTGTGCCTTCAAAGCAGGTACTATACCACTTGCACCACACCTCTGGTCCTAGGAGGAAAAATCTTATTGGAAAGATCCAAATAATGACTTCAGACAAAAACTGAAAATAACTGCAGTGCCCACACTAATTAAATACGGAACACCTCAAAAACTGGTAGAATCATGCCTTATGCCAGGCGCTGGTGGCAAATAGTTAACCTAGCTCAAAAGAACCCATCACAAAAAACAGCTGGCAGAGTGACTCAACTGGTAAGAGCACCTACCTAAAAAGCATGAGGCCTTGAGTTCAAACTCCAGTGCCACCAAAAAAAAACACAAAAGTTAAATATAGCCAGGCACAGTGGCTCACAATTGTAATCCCAGCTACTCAGGAAGTGAAGATCTGGAGGTTGATACTTAGAGCCTAGTGTTTGGGTGGGAAGGGGCAGAGGTTTGAAGATCCCAGCTCTACAAAAAATACCAGGCATGGTGGTATGCATTTGTGATGCAGCAAGCAGGTAAGAAAATCTCTGTTGAAACTGCCTCTGGACAAAAAATAGGAAATCCTATTGGAAAAATAACTAAAGTTAAAACAGGACTGGGGTATGGTTTAAGTGGTAGAACACCTACCAAACCAGGATCTGGGGGGGGGGGGCAGTTAAATGTAGATTAGATCTAGTGGCACAAACTTGTAGTCCCAGAAGTTGAAAGGCAGAGACAAAAAGAGCTTAAGTTTCAAGCCAGCCTGGGCTACCTACCAAGGCCCTGTCTCAAATAAATTAATAAATAAATTTTAAAAACAAGGTTACGTACAAGTTTGAAAAATTGGAAAACTTTAAGAAGTGGACAGCAGATTTGAAAGAAACACCAGAGCCCGGCCCTGGTGGTTCATGCCTGCAATTCTAGCTTCTTAGAAGGCAGAGATCAGGAGGATCACCATTCAAAACCAACTCAGGTAAATAGTTATGAAAAAAAAAAACCCATCACAAAAAAGGGATCAAAATGTAGGCCCTGAGTTCAAGCCCCAGCTCACAAAAGAAAAGAAACACTAAATGGAAAATGTAAATGAAACTAGAAGACAAGTGGATTTAATTGGCAGTGGATTAAACATAGCAACACAATCAATGAGCCAGGTGCTGGTGGTTCACACCTGTAATCATAGCCACTTGGGAGGCTGAGATCAGGAGGATCCCAGTTTGAGACCAGAGTGGGCAAATAGTTCAGGAGACCCAGTTTCGAAAATAACCAGACCAAAATGGACAGGATATATTTGTTCAAGTGGTAGAGCACCTGCTTTGCAAGTGGGAAGGCCTGAGTTCAAACAAACAAAAATCTCTTTGATCTTTTTTTGGTTTATAAAGCATGATTGAACGTTCAACCTTTTGTATGACATGTGCTTCCCTCAAACCTTGTTATGACATTGGCACATTACCCATCTGATGTGAGAAGAAAAATGAAAAGGACAATTTAGGATATCCCAGAATTAACTTTTTCTGTATCAGATGTCTTGTAGAGTTTTAAAAATATAGAATTTATCCAGGCTCCAATGGCTCACCCACATGTAATTAATCCTACCTACTTGGGAGGCTGAGATTGGGAGGATTGTGGTTCAAAGCCAACTCTGGGGAAACTGTTTGTGAGGCTCCTCTCTCCAAAATAACCAGAACAAAATGGACCAGAGGCATGATTCAAGTGGTAGAGCATCTGTTTTGCAAGTCTAAAGCCATGAGTTCAAATCCTAGCCCCACCAAAAAAATAAAATTTTATATATATGCATATATAATTTAAATTTGTAATAATAATAATAATGTAAGTTGTGAAAGAAGAAAATTTCTGAGATGTCCTAAACTTATTTATCAAGGCCAAAGGGTAAAGGATGGAAGAGAAAAGAAAGGTTGATCAGTCAACAAGTATGGGATCAAAACCAACAAAAGACTGTCTCACATTCCAGAATGTATTAAAAATACATTCTGAAATGAATTGAAATGAATGAATGTTAAAAACTTGACTTTCAACTCCTGACCCTCAGCCAACCCTCAGGCCTGTATTTGCATAGAACCTTTTAGTACTACTCATCCTAACCAATGCAGAAGCAACAAGTCAGTCTCCCTTATGAACTGCCCTACTATTTAAATATCAAATAAATAAATGATGATGATAATGGATCACAATCCACAAAATAAAATAAGAATCCACGGGCCAGGCTCCAGTGGTTCATGCCTGTAATCCTAGTTACTCAGGAAGTGGAGATCAGGAGGATCATGGTTCAAAGCCAGCCCTGGCAAATAGTTCTCCAGACCCTATCTTGAAAAACCCCAGCACAAAAAAAGGGCTGGCAGAGTGGTTCAAGGTGTAGGTACTGAGTTCAAACCCTAGTACCACCACCACAACCAATTGTGTGTATATGTACACACACAAACACAAACAATATAGACGGGTAAGGGAGTGGCTCAAGTGGTAGAGCACTTGCCTGGAACATGACACCTTGAGTTCAACCCCAATCTTTCTTCCCTTCCCTCTAGCCCCCCCAAAAAAAGAAAGAGAAGAAAATCATTATTTTCTTTGGCAAACTTCACAGTAACAATTGATTCAGATAAAACCAATTCAAATAACTACAGTTGTAGCTCAGTGGTACAGTATTTGCCTAGAATGTGCTAGGTCCTGGGTTATAACCCCAGCACTGAAAAAAAAATTTCACATATGATAAAAGTAGTAGGTAAAATTTTGTAGAGGAATGAAATATTTACATGCTTTCAAAATATCTTTCTCCAAGACTGAGCATGGTGGGGCACAACTGCAATCCCAGCTACTCAGGAGGCAGAGATGGAGAATGGAAGTTTGAGGCCAGCTTCACAGTGGTGCATATCTATAGTCCTGGCTACTTGCAAGGCTAAAGCAGAAGGATCACTTGGGCTCAGGAGTCCCATATCAGCCTTAACAACATAGCAAGACTCTGCCTCAAAAAATAAAAGAGCTGGAGGCATAGCTTACTTGGTAGAGTGCAAGCACAAGACCCTGAATTCAAACCCCGGTGCCATCAAAAGATTTATAAAAAAAATAAAATAAAATAAAATAGGGTTGGGAGCATGGCTAAAGTGGTAGATCGCCTGCCTAGCATGCTTGAGACCCTGAATTCAAACTCAAGTACCACCAATAAATAAATAAGTAAATAAAATAGTACTTCATATTTTCATTTGTTTTCCCTCATATGAATGATTCATACTCACGGTAGAAATTCCAAGAGTTCACTATTGGTTTTTAAACCTTAAATTGATACAGTTAAATTTTTGAGAAGTGATTTAACAAATGGTGGATTTTATAGCTCAACTTAAAAGTTCTACTCTAGCCTAGCACCACTGGCTCATGCCTGTAATCCTAGCCACTCAGTAGGTAGAGATCAGGAGGATCATGGCTTGAAACCAGCCCAGGCAAATAGTATGCAAGACCCGATCTCAAAAATACCTAGCACAAGAAAGGGCTGGTGGAATGGCTGAAACGGTAGAGCACCTGCCTAGCAAGTGTGAGGACCTCAGTTCAAACCCCATACCCCCCCTCAAAAAAGCTCTATCCTTTTCCAGTCAAGCTGGAAAGAAAAGCCAATTCATACTTATTCCATAAAATTACTAAGCGTCTATTGTGGCCCTAGCAATAGGTGATGCTGAAATTATTATACCCTTATATGACAGGGTCAGATATATCAAGTTAAAGTGAACCACTGCCTATTTAAATATAAGTTTAAAATAATTGCCAGTTGCAAACTTAAGACTGAGTAACTGAATATTAGTTGCAGTAAATGATTCTTGGCAAACAGCCTCTGCCATAGGATTCCTGTAGTAAACATGAAAACAATGATGTAGTAAAGGTGAAATGACAAAATTGGGAGAGAGAAGAAATAGTCTTAGCTGTCTTGGGCAACTGATAAGAGGGTAAGGGTGCTTCTACTTATGAATCCTTGCTTGTTTCTACTTCTTCTAGCAGGGGTGTAGGCAAGGTCCAGTAAGTTTTGGAGAAAATAAAAGAGATAGGGGGTGAGGAAGCATAAAGAGTCCTATCTGGGGGCTGGGGCTCTTGTGGTATAGCACCTGCCTAGCAAACATGAGGCTATGAGTTCAAACCCCAGTACCACCAAAAACCAAATCAAAACAAAAAACCCAGAATACTATCTGGTAACACACCTTCAAGGGTATGAATGTCAGTGGTTTTCTACTTTAACAGTTAGCTAGAAAGAGTCATAAGCATGGAAGACATTTAACATCTTTTGCAGAAGACCTTTAGCATCTTTTATCCTGAGGTCCCTTGAAGGCTCTCTAGTTGCATATGTCCTGCTGAAATTCTTATACTGTAGCTATAGCAAGCATATTCACAGAACATCTACGCAATTCTCATCAAGATTTGTCACCTTCCTCCATCCCCTCCCTGACTATTGCTCTGAAGAGTCCCAACCCTGGGAATCTACTCATTTCTGTTCTTTCACCACTGCAGTATCCTGACACTGTTGTTCATGGCAGGCACTGCAGGACTTTCACCCCCTTGCTGGCTTCCCTCTAGTGTCCCATGTCCACTGTTCAGAACCTCCAATCTTTCC